TCTTCAGTTCGGAAAGAGGAACTAATCTGTAGAATTGGACGAGGTCTAGGATACTATGAAGACCATGAACTCACCAAAATCACTGTAAAATCAGAGTCACAGTAGATGGTTTAAAGCCACTCATTCAAGAGACGATAATAGACTTTTCAACAGGGGAGGAGTCTATTGTAACTCTAGAATATGAGAGACTTGCATATCATTGTTCATTCTGTTTGAGACTCACTCATGGGGGTAAAGAATGTCCGGAAAGAATCGTACAAGCAGAGGAACTCGGTCCACAGAGGCAACAAACGCAACAAAGAGAGCTCAGCTTGCAAAAAGAGAAAGACGTGAGTGCTAGTAAGCAGATGGAGCATAACCCCCGAAGAAACTATGCAAACCATGCCTCCAAAGAGCCTCATAACCCGTTGGATTTGACAAAGGGGTCTTCTAATTCCGCAGTGAGAGAGTAACAAGATTTAACCATATGGAAGATGATTGGAACAAAAGACGGGTTGTTGCAAGAAGCGCTGCCAAAAACAGAGACCTCACAAATAGTGAGTACAGAAGACCCCACAAACAAGAAAGAACTCACTCTGACTCCCATTCCTATAAAAGAACTAGACCCAACTACCACTCTACACCACAAGGGACCAATCAACAGGCTCGAGATTTTGTAGCAAAGAGAACCCTTGATACGGAGAAACCTCAATCACCTTCTCTTAGTGGGTGGAGAGAAATAACTCAATGTCTCCTACGAGGCAGAACTCCCCTGCCTCTTCTCGGAGTAGAAGTTGAGACGATTAAGGTGGAGTTGAGAGAGGCTATGAGGTGTTATTGTGTTGCAGGTTGAGGCCACCTTTAGAAAGAAACATGGATGTCGAATATGCCCCACCAAACTATTTTGTACCCACCACAGAGGAGGTTCTGGTAGAATTACAAGAAGTCTCACTTCAATATGCTAATGTGGAGGACACGACTGAGCGAGCCGCAAGACACCAAAGAATGAGTTGAGAAATAGTACGATTTCTTACTGACCCTTTACTGTTTTTGGGTTTCCGTTGACGGAAATCGCGTCGGATTGATCAATTCTTTGTTTTTCGATTTGGTTTCAGCTGGCCGAAGCAGGTTAAGGAGTCATAACGTCTCCTCCACTCCGTCTCTGGACTCTCCGGTGAGTCCCTCGTTTTCTCCGGCGGTGTTTTCCGGCAGTCAGTCTCTGTTCTTTTTTGCTGTTTTTTTTGGTTTTCCGAGGAGAATAAAGCAAAAGTATTCGGATGTTTTTGGGTTGTTGAAGTTCGAGGGTGGTCTTAAAGATTTTGTGTTTTAATCATAAGACTTAAGTTTAGCTACTTGTATTATTAAGATTCTCACCATTAAGTTAAATAGTTAGATAATTAAGTTATATAATGTAAAAAATAGAGTAGTGTACAGGTCGATTATTTAGGAAATAAAACTTTCAAAATAAAAATAAACAGGAATTTTGATTAAAAAAAATAAATAT